CTGTAACCACTTGCTGACCGGGGTGTTTACACCCCCTTCCTGTCCAGGCCAGGCCATTTTTCAGTATTCAGCGCTGCGGTACTTCAACTGACATTTATTCAGTCATGCAACGCTGTACTGAAACTAATTTTATACCATTTTTTGGGGACGGATAGAGCTTTCTTTTGGTGGTATTTAATCACCACTGGGGTCTTTATTTTTTACTATATAACAAAAAAGTACCAAAATATATATTTTTTTAAATGGTTTGACCTTTTATTATTTTAGGAAACATTTATTTGTACCCTGTACCCAATTTTTTGGTAAAAATATAAGAAGCGGGGTCACATCGGGTAAATAGACACCAAACATGTCAAGCCTTAATATTGCGCACGCCCGTGAAATCGCAAAAAACTATCATAGCCAAAATTGGCAATAGGCGCTGCTTTAAAAGATTTTAGCACTCAAAACTTTACTGTTATCAGTGATTGATGACCCTAAAATTATTGCTTTTACTGGGACAATCGCAGCGATATGTATCATGTGCGGCGTAATGGGCGCAATCGTCATTTTTGAGTGTAGGCACACCTAATGCATTTTTATGCATCATACAAGTGATCGGGCGTCTTTACAGACGCTGGACCGCTTGTATGTAAAAGGCCATGGCTGGCTGTTTAAAATCCTGCCGGACTCCCGCTCGTGCGCGCCCCCTGGCGAGCGGGCACGAAGGATGTCTAAAGACGCCCACCCGCACCCAGGAGACTTTGTCCGGCCGTCTTTCAGCGTTCGGGCAGTGGTTAAAACATAACTTAACTCTGGTTTATCACACCTGGGTTCAATTTCTCTAGCCACACCTGTTCGCAATCAAGAAATCACATAAATAAGACTTGACTGACGAAGTGAAGTAGACCCAAAAGATCCTCAAAAGCTACACATCATGCCGAGATCGAAAGAAATCCAGGAACAAATGAAAGAAAGTAATTGAGATCTATCAGTCTGGAAAAGGTTGTAAAGCTTTGGGACTCCAGTGAACCACAGTGAGAGCCATTATCCACAAATGGCGAAAACATGGAAAAGTGGTGAACCTTCCCAGGAGTGGTACAGTAGAAAGGCATCATGGCACACTCACAAACCAGCATGTAAAACAACTTGTCTCACCACTAAGGACAATGACAGAGGTTTGGATAAACATCTTCTGCAAAGGATGTGTAAGCCGCACTGCCGCGCCAAGGCACCTCTTATAGTGCTGTCCTAACTCTAAACTATGAGAGTCTCCATCTTGGAGCACATGGGGGCAGAAGATATCAAAGTGGGTGCAGGCCTGTCAGGAGGACGCCCCACCTCCTTAAAGGTACAGAGACACACAAGGGATCCCGCACATCCCATTGGCAGCTGAGAAACCCCATGCGTCGCTGCACCAAATCGGTAAAGCAAAACAAACGACAAACGCACTTAACAATTTGTTACCAGTTATACAGTAAGGTGCACACGAAATGGGCTTTGAACAGTGGTACAGTAGAAAGGCATCATGGCACACTCACAAACCAGCATGGAGATGGAGACTCTCATAGTTTAGTGAGTGAGTGCCATGATGGTTTGTGAGTGTGCCATGATGCCTTTCTACTGTACCACTGTTCAAAGCCCATTTCGTGTGCACCTTACTGTATAACTGGTAACAAATTGTTGAGTGCGTTTGTCGTTTGTTTTCCTTCCCAGGAGTGGGCGGCCAACCAAAATTACCACAAGAGCACAGCGACGACTCATCTAAGAGGTCACAAAAGACCCCACAACAACATCCAAAGAACTGCAGGCCTCACTTGCATCAGTTGAGGTCAGTGTTCATGACTGCACCATAAGAAAGAGACTGGGCAAAAATGGCCTGTATGGCAGAGTTCCAAGACGAAAACCGCTGCTGAGCAAAAAGAACATAATAGCTTGTCTTCGTTATGCCTGAAAACATCTTGATGATCCCCAAGACTTTTGGGAAAATACTCTGTGGACTGACGAGACAAAAGTTGAACTTTTGTCTCGTCATACAAAAGTTCTGGGGACTCTTACGTCCCATTACATCTGGCGTAAAAGTAACACCGCATTCCAGAAAAAGAACATACCAACAGTAAAAATATGGTAGTGGTATTGTGATGGTCTGGGGCTGTTTTGCTGCTTCAGGACCTGGAAGACTTGCTGTGCTAAATGGAACCATGAATTCGGCTGTCTACCAAAAAATCCTGAAGGATAATGAGCGGCCATCTGTTTGTGACCTCAAGCTGAAGCGAACTTGGGCTCCGGAGCAGAACAATGATCCAAAACACACCAAGTCCACCTAACAAAATTAAGACTTTGGAGTGGTCTAGTCAAAGTCCTGACCTGAATCCTATTGAGATGCTGTGGCATGACCTTAAAAAGGCTGTTCATGCTCAAACCTTCCCTTGTGGCAGAATTACATCAATTCTGCGAAGATGAGTGGACCAAAATTCCTGCACAGCGCTGTAACAGACTCATTGCAAGTTATCGCAAACGCTTGATTACAGTTCTTGCTGCAAAGGGTGGCCCGACCAGTTATTAGGTTTAGGGGACAAACACTTTTTCACACAGGGCCATGTGGGTTTGGATTTTGTTTTCCCTTAATAAAAACCTTCCTTTTAAAAACTGCATGTTGTGTTTTACTTGTGTTTTTATCTTTGACTAATCTATTTACATTTGTTTGATGATCTGAAACAAAAAAGTGTGACAAACGTGCAAAACAATGAAAAATCAGGAAGGGGGCCCCACACACACACACACTCACTCTCTCTCTCTCTCTCTCTGGGTCTGAACGTACGAATTGTGGCTGTCAGCGACTAGTCAATGTTAGGGCAGAATGGAGAGTGGCAAAACTGGTACAAGACAACAGAAGGGCAACAGTGCATCAAATTACTGCAGATCTTAATCAGGGATCTTCTCAAATGATCTCTGAACGCACTTTTCGCCGTACACTGCATTGTATGGGATATGGAAGCTGTAGTCCTGTTCGAACACCTTTGCTGTCTACAGTTAACAAAACGTCTCCAATTCGCACAGGAACACAAGGATTGGACAGTTGAGCATTGGAAAAGAGTCATGTGGTCCGATGAATCACATTTCCAGTTGCATCATGCAGATGGCAGAGTGAGAATTTGGTGGAAACGGCATGTATGAGTACAACCCTTCAAGCTGGTGGGGGCAGTGTTATGGTTTGGGGCATGTTTTCCTGGCATGAATAGCACAACATACCAAAGTATCGTTGCTGATCAAGTTCACCCTATCATGTTGATGGTGTATCCCAATGGAGATGGCTTCTTCCAACAAGAGAATGCGCCATGCCACAGTGCTCGTATTGTGCAGGAGTGGTTTCAAGAACATGAGGACATGTATATTAGAGGTGCACCGAAATCGACATTTTAAAAACTAAACCGAAATAAAAAATATTAAACCGAAAATGTTTTGTATTAAAATTTTTGTCACATTTAAAATTTTTTTTATTTTTAATCATTTTTATTTAAATATGTTTTACTTTACTTTTAGGAGCTTCAGGGAAATATTAGGGGTCTACACAGACCACTGTCAGGTACGTAACTCCAATTTTTTTTTTTTTTTTTTTTTTGCAGTCCCTGTTATCATTGAACAGGAATCCTGAGTATTCCTGTTCATTCATAACATGAGAACAGAGTATGTTTACTATAACCACAATCCTGAATGAACAGGTGATGTAGATCACTCCCATTCATTTCATAATTGAGGATGTAATAAACATACTATGTCCTCAACTATGTACAAACCCTCAGCATTCGCTGAGTGTTTGCATTGACTCTCCTTCCTGACAGCTGTCACAGGAGGCTGAGCGAGTGGAGCTGGAGGAGAGCTCAGCCTCCTGTGACAGCGCTGGCTGTCTCCGCCCACGGTGTGGGAGGAGAGATGCCGGCCGCTCACAGCGCTCTCCTCCCGCAGCGATCGGCCAGCTGTCACACTTTTTCTCTCCTCCCTGCTGGGAGACACCGCAGCGCCCAGCGGGGAGGAAAGAAAGCAGGGATGCGCTGCTGTATCGGCAGAAATATGGCGCTTTCTGCATTTAGCCAAAAGTGCTATTTTCGGCTGATATATCGGTGCTATATATATA